TTTGGGCTGTGAGGTCGGTCTATTTCAGGTTGAAAAAACGACTAAGTCCCATCGCGAATGGGACTTAGTCTCTGCAGCTGAAATAAGGCTGAAAAAAACGGCTGAAAAAAAGACTAAGTCCCATCGCCGAATGGGACTTTAGTCTCTGCAGCTGAAATAAGGCTGAAAAAAACGGCTGAAAAAAAGACTAAGTCCCATCGCCGAATGGGACTTAGTCTCTGCAGCTGAAATAATTTCCCATTTACTGACCCAAGTGGGAAATAGCAAGGCAGGCACAAAGGGTTTGCACCAGGTCTGGGGACACAGGGGACACCGTCTTAAAGGGGCCGTGTCCCCAACAAGTCTGGGGACACTGCCTTAAAGGGGCAGTGTCCCAATCTTCCTGATGACCCAAAAAAGGTGTTTAAAGGGCCAGCACCAGTCACATAAAGAGTCCATAAGCCCCAATATGCCCACCGACAGTCTTAAAGGGCCATACACACCAAATAAAAGTGCATAACATTTTCACAATCTCCCCAGGGCCAGTCAGCGCGAGGAGGCTGGCAAGTGGCTTCCACAACCTCAGGAAGCAGGGCACATGCCATTTAAAGGCCCGCTACAAATAGCAGTTTGTACAAGGTGTCAATCCATATCTGCCAAGTGACCATGTAGGGGGGACCAGTCCCTATTCTGCTCTGTGTCAGTGTGTATCAGGGAACCTTAGACAGGTGTCAATCCATATCTGCCAAGTGACCATGTTGGGGTAACATTCCCCTATTCTGCTCTGTGTCAGTGTGTATCAGGGATCCTTAGGACAGGTGTCAATCCATATCTGCCAAGTGACCCGATGTTGGGGTAACATTCCCTATTCTGCTCTGTGTCAGTGTGTATCAGGGATCCTTAGGACAGGTGTCAATCCATATCTGCCAAGTGACCCGATGTTGGGGTAATATTCCCTATTCTGCTCTGTGTCAGTGTGTATCAGGACCACTGATAGGAGACGCGGAAGGTATTAAACTGATAAAAATAGTACTAAACACTCCACTCCTATCTGGTGTCACATTAGCTTGACCGCGCAGTGCCCCAAATTTGCAGTAAGAGGACCGACCAAGCCTCTTCTTCCATCTCCCTGTTACAAAAATCAATGCCGTGTACACGCCCACCGATAGGAGACGCGGAAGGTATTAAACTGATCAGAACAATACTAAACACACCACTCCTATCTGGTGTCACATTAGCTTGACCGCGCAGTGCCCCAAATTTGCAGTAAGAGGACCGACCACGCCTCTTCTTCCATCTCCCTGTTACAAAAATCAATGCCGTGTACACGACCACTGATAGGAGACGTGGAAGGTATTAAACTGATCAGAACAATACCAAACACACCACTCCTATCTGGTGGCACATTAGCTTGACCGCGCAGTGCCCCAAATTTGAATTAAGAGGACCTACCAAGCATCTTCTTCCATCTCCCTGTTACAGAAATCACTGCCATATCCATACAAATTGTACAGAATGTCCAGGATAGTTTTCCAGGGACAAATGTTGTCGCCTGTTGAACGAGGTGACCTTGCTCGGTCCCAGGTGTACGGTTCCTAAAATGGTTGTTACATACACGTCCACTGATAGGGAGACGCTGAAGGTAATAAACTGATCAGAACAATACTAAACACACCACAAATAAGGTTTCTCTCCTGTATGGCTCCTCAAATGATGCTTAAGATTAGAAGCGGCTGAAAGCATTTCTCACACTTAACAAAAAATATTTTTTTAACATCTTCCACTTTGAACTTAAATGACGCTTGGGAAGAGATTAACATAATTAAACACAGCAGTAAAAATACAGTTTTTAGCCATACACTGTAACTTTAAAATTACACATCCCATCTTCATAATTACATATTTGGAATCAGCACACTTAAAACATAAACATAACCAAAAATCAGCCAAATCCATCCAGGGGTTAAAAAGTTAGCTGGAGGTCCCTTTTATGACCGACCGCAAGCACATTTTCCTGCCCAAAACAGTTCCATAGATTTGGGCTGTGAGGTCGGTCTATTTCGGGCTGAAAAAACGACTAAGTCCCATCGCCGAATGGGACTTAGTCTCTGCAGCTGAAATAAGGCTGAAAAAAACGGCTGAAAAAAAGACTAAGTCCCATCGCCGAATGGGACTTAGTCTCTGCAGCTGAAATAATTTCCCATTTACTGAACCAAGTGGGAAATAGCAAGGCAGGCACAAAGGGTTTGCACCAGGTCTGGGGACACAGGGGACACCGTCTTAAAGGGGCCGTGTCCCCAACAAGTCTGGGGACACTGCCTTAAAGGGGCAGTGTCCCAGTCTTCCTGATGTCCCAAAAAAGGTGTTTAAAGGGCCAGCACCAGTCACATAAAGAGTCCATAAGCCCCAATATGCCCACCGACAGTCTTAAAGGGCCATACACACCAAATAAAAGTGCATACATTTTCACAATCTCCCAGGGGCCATAGTCATGCGGGAGGAGGCTGGCAAATAGGCTTCTCCACAACCCAGGGAAGCAGGGCAATTTGCCATTTAAAGGGCCCGTTACAAATAGCAGTTTGTAACAAGGTGTCAATCCATATCTGCCAAGTGACCCGATGTAGGGGACCAGTCCCTATTCTGCTCTGTGTCAGTGTGTACCAGGGAACCTTAGGACAGGTGTCAATCCATATCTGCCAAGTGACCCGATGTAGGGGGAACAGTCCCTATTCTGCTCTGTGTCAGTGTGTATCATGGTCTCTGAGGACAGGTGTCAATCCATATTTGCCAAGTGACCCTATGTAGGGGACCAGTCTCTATTCTGCTCTGTGTCCGTGTGCATCAGGGGCTCTGAGGACAGGTGTCAATCCATATGTCAAGGTGTCAATATGTCATATGTCAGGTGTCAATCCATATTGATTGTGATTTAGGAATGTTAGGTGATTTCTGCCCTTTATGGATTAAAACCAGACTCTGTATCAA